TATTTATTAAAAAAATTTTCATGTCTTTAAGATTTTATTAGGTCCTAATATACAAATTTTAATTTTTATAAAATAGTACATTAAATTCCATTGACTTTGATTACTAATTATTAATAAAATTACAAAAAATAAAAAATTTGAATTTTACTGAAGAAAAATTAATTTCTTTCAAAATATTAAAAATTTGTTTATACTCGTAACTTATTTTATCGTAATTTTTTAGAACTTCAATGATGTGAATTTTATATTTTTTTTCTGTTGCTTAAGATATGGTTACTTTCATTAAAAAAGTGATTTATTCCCAAAAACCGCATACTGGTGAAGGAGTTTTTTCAAAGATAAAAAAAGATTTTGCATAATCAAACAAACATTATTCAAAACATATTTAAATTTATGTAAAAATATTTACATAAATATACATACATTTACATAATATTATGATAAAAATTTCAAAAACAAAAAAAAAATTCTTTTATTTTTTTAAATGACTTGCTTTTCAAAATAATAAAAATAAGAATTACTAAAATAAAAAAAATAGTCATGTCCTGTAAAAACTATAATATGTATATATGTATATACATATACATATCTCCATAGATTCCATATTATGTACATATATATATATATATTTTTAATTAAATTTAATACAGTACATTTGTATATTATAAATACAGTATGGATTTATATTATATAAAAAAATATAAATATGTATATACATATAATAGTAGTAATTTATAATTTGAATAAGTATGTAGTTATGTATCAATGGTAACACGCTATTTCGGGATCATAATTTAAGCTTGTAACACAGACTTGTTTATGAAAAAAAACAAAAACTAATAACAATTTTAGTGATATTAAAATTTTAACCAGAAAAAAATTTTCGAATCACATATTTTAATTGTTTACATAATATTATTAATTTTATACATACCCAATATTTAGAAACAAAAAAAAATGCTATTAACAATACTCAAAAAAAAATGGTAAATTAGCTAAAACATTAAAGGGGCCCGGCTTGTCGTCGTTGTTTTATTATTCACATTTTTGTAAGCGGTATCATTAATTTTTTTGTGTCATCATTAAAAAATGAACTGTCAAAAAAGTAGTTGCCATTGTGCATTGTAATTTTTTATATGGAAAAAAATATCGGTGACATCGATAACAGCAATTTGAATGAGATATGGCCCTTTTATTATTGACTAATTTTTCTTTCCTTTTTTGCGACAATGATGACAATGGCTAATGCTTATATAACACTAATTAATCTATTGTTACCCAAAATTTTTAAAAAAAGGAACAAAAATCAAATAATTATTTTTTCTTCAACAATCAATACTTGCAATATTATTAGATTCTCTTTCTAAATTTTTCACATAGTAAAAACATTAAAATCAAAAAAAAAATAAATAAATAATAAATGAACGAAACAAAACGAGAATAAAAACAAAAACTATTTGAAAAAAAAGCAAGAGTATAGCAATTAAAAAAATTTTTATAAATATAAATGATGAAATCAAAAAAATAGTGTAAAAGATGAAATATATAATAGAAAAATAATATATACATATATGTACATACATACATATAATATGAGAATTAGAATAAATTTAAATTATAATAAAAACCAAAAAAAAAAAAAAATAAATAAATAATAAAGCCTAAGTATTTATATAACACACAAAAAACTATGATGCCTTGGTAAATATTTAAAAAATTAAATAAAGATAAAGAAATATCAACTCTTTTTTTGTTTATTTAAATATATACTTTATTACATAAATATTATATAAAATTATTTCACATATATATAGATACATAATTATGTATGTATGTATGTATATTACCATTTCATATGTTACACAAAATTTACTATTATTTATAAAAAAAAATTTAATAAAAAAGAAAAAGCAGGATTTTAAAAAAAACTACTTAAACAAAAATTATAAGTAAAATAAAATTATTGAATTCTTCTTGACCTACATATTATATACAAAATCTAACTTATATAAACCTCGATATTATGTATTGAATATTTTCTCATTACATTTTCTATTATAAACTTATTCCGAGCATAAAGAAATATAAATATTAAAAAAAAAAAATTTTAAAACTCTGTAGATGTAATCGACAATGTAAAATGCGCATTGAACTCTTTTGCATTTTAATCGATATTGTAGTTTTTTAACTTTTAATATTGTCAGAGGTATTTTATATTTTGTAGTGTTTACGATAATGCAAAAGACATACGTCACGTAATAATTAATAATGATAATTGCCTGTCGTGTATTGTTAATTTTTTTTTTTTTTTGCATTTTTGTAATAAAAAAAATTTTAACTTCCAATTTTGTTTTTTGTACAAAAATGGAAAATTTTGAAGAGGATAAGTTAATTTTATTTAGTTAAATAACATTAAAGTAAAATATGGTAAACCCAAATTATCAAAAATAATTTGTTTCTAAAGCGGTTGTCAACCGGTTGCATGCAAAAATTATACGAAAGTTGATATACAAAAATTTTATTAGCATGAATTGTTAATATTGCCGATTGATGACCGTCAAATGCAATAATTGTTGTCGGCCGGTATTTGACATTACCTTGTATTATAAAATTTTAAAGAAAATTTAAAAGGGAATTTTATGGTATTTTATGATAGTGGGGATATTACAATAAGTCGAGAATGACTGCGGTGGCTCGAGGGGTTGCTACTGCTCCACTTGGTTCCCTGAAAAATCTTATCTAATCTAATCTTATGATAGTTAATTAGAATGATAAAAAAAAAGAACAGTCCATGTCTACTAAAAATATTTAAATACTAACTGACAAATATATCATGAATTCCAAAATTTCATTAAAACTGTATTAGTATATTATTCAGTAATTGGCAACTTATAAGCTTAATTGTGTATTAATACAGCGCATTACTGCAATTTTGAAAATTAGGGATGTTAATGAAATTAAATTCGCATTGCCGAATTAATTCAGTAAATTGAATTTTGTATTAAACAGTAATTTCCTGACTGAATTATAAATTACAGGGTGATGATGCAATAATCTATTTTATACATATTTTATTTTTAATTATACTTATACAATATTATGAAATTGTGTTATTTTAATTCTCCATTTTATGTTAAAAATGTGGTTCTATTTTTTGGTCATTTTCTTGAATAGCAAATCAATTTTGATTTTTTTTTAGTTACAATATTTTGTTGTTAGCCGATGTAAAATCGCTAATTTGTCAAATCATAAGCATGTGTTCGAGCTAAATTACAGAACATTTCTAAAGTAAAATAATTTAAAGAGCATGTATTGTAAATATTATATTGTACTCCAATATATGTATATTATGTTAAAAATACTTATGCATATGTATAAAGTAAATAAAAATTATAATAACAATTAAATTAAAATTAAAAAAATTGAAAGAAATAATAATAAAATGATACTTATATAAAAATAAATTGATAAAATGTTGTGTACGTATTAAATAAAATAAAATAAAATAAATAAAAAAACTAATCATAAAATATCCTATAACCTACATACATACTTACATGCATTTATATTTTTATTGGTATAAACGTACATACAATATTATTCATGGAATATAAAATACCTATATATATATATATATATGTATATATATATATATATATATATATATATATATATATATAAGTATTTGACGTATATATATGGTGGTATATCAATAGATTTCTTGAAAAAAAAGAGTATATTTTAAAATATATATACATAAGTATATATAAATAGTCATTTAACTATGTTTGTAATACATATTTATATATACTATGTACATATACATATGTATATATATATATATATATATGCATATTTATGCGGGTACGAATGTATGTTGTTGCAGAGTGTTGTAAAATTTACATAATATATAATATAAATAATAATATTGTATTAAAAATAAAATAAAAAAATATCAAAATGCATATATACATACATATTGATGAAAAAAAATGGTATATATATATATATATATATATATATATATATATATATATATATATATATATATATATATTACTTAAATATTATATAATCACTATAAAAGTATATATATTTATTAAATAACTTAAAACAAAAAAAAATAATAAAGAGAATTTATTTCATAATTTTATTGTTGTTATTTTTTTCCTATTTACATTATATTAAAAAAATAATCAAAAATTGATCTGCTCAGTCTTTCCTTCAATATCATAAATTATTAACATTTTAAAACTTGAAATTTATTAAACCAATTAAACTCAGTTAATTACCAGACAATACATATAACAATTTGTGTCCTTTTAGTTATTACAGAAACATAAATTGTGTTAAAGATTTGTACATGTATCAATGGAAATATTTTATTAAGTTTATAATAATTATTCAAAATATTTTAAAATTTCAACTTATTTCCAGCTCTTACTCGGGATAGTTAGATATTTTTGTCTTTAGAACAATTCTATTATTCTATCTGTTGCCCGTTCTATACTCCTAGTAAGATGTTTTGCACACATTGTATCGAAATTTCAAAATTAATTCCACCCTAGATGTTAACATGTTCGATAAATCTTTACTACAAAAGAAGCACTTTCAAAAATCGAAGAATGAAAATTTCTAAGCGTTTTTAAATATTTTTTTACTGCAAAAATATTTTAAATATGAATGAGAATAAAGAAGTGTAAAATACTAAAAATCTGAAAAAGCAAAATAATTAGTTTCCGCAGATCTCTAATGATGCAAAAGTTTCTTTTAGATTTAAGTTAGAACTTTGTGTACGTATCTGAATTATCGAAAATCCCTTTTTAAATTTAAATTTAAAAATAGCATCACACAGAACACTAGGATTTATTTCTCCAATTTCTTTAATTTAGGTTTTAATAATTTTATTTTATGTAGAATTTGCGGTTTTGAGTAGCTTATATAAAAAGTTTAAAATTTATTAAAACAATAAAGAATAATTCAAAAAATAAAACAACGGCTAGTTTCAAAAACTTTTATTATTAATGGGTGAAAATAGAAAGTTTTATGAAAGTTAATACATTAGATGAAGTTTTGTTTGAATTTGAAAATAAGTTTATTATTTAAGATTTACATTATTCTGAAAATAATGTAAGGGAAAATTACCATAGCTTTTTATTGCTATTGATAATTTACCCTTTAAGGCTTGTCATACCAGCTCTCATGATTTCATCAACCAGTAAGAGATTACTTGCTATGACTGCACAAGAATTCAGAATTTGTTTCTTTACAATATAATTGTCACAAATTCCTGCATTTTTAAGATTCATTGCTTCCCCCGAAGCTAGATCGATTCCTACTGGATCAGGATTAAGACGATCTTCTTCCGTCAGTTTAACTATTGTATCCTGTGCATCATATCCACTATTAATAGCCAAAGTTTTTGGAACAATAAGTAATGCTTCAGCGAAGGCTTGAATACCAAGCCGAGTTTTTCCTTTAACTGTATCCTTGTATTTCATTAATTGATTGTATGCACGAATTTCAAAAGCACCAGCGCCAGGAATCAAACATTTATCTTCAAGTGCATTATTAATAGCTCTAAGACCATCATGAATAGCGTCTTTTATTTGAAGTAAAGTATATTTATTTGGCCCTTTAATCAAAATTGTAACAGACCGCGGATTTAAACATTCTTCGACAAACGTAAATTTATCCTCTCCTAGAACATGTTCATAAACAACTCCAGCATACCTGAAGTAAAATATATTTATAATTCAAATTGGTTTTACTAGAAATTATTTTATATTTTTTACCCTAAATTGGATTCCTGAATATCTTCCAATGAATTAAGAGCTATTCCACCGCAAGCTAAAGATAATCGCTCCATATTTCTCCTTTTTGCTCTCCGCAATGCTATAATTCCTTCTTTAGCTAAAGCATCTAAAGACATTGGATCGATTCCTTTCTGATTGATAACGACAAAATTTTTATCAGTCCCATCGCATAATTTTTTTTTCAACGCAATAATTTTTTGTACTCGCTGATCTATGAAATCCCTTTCTGCTTTAACAAACTTTTCGCGTTCCTCAGCGGTTTTATAAAAGAATCCAGAATTAACTTCAGATTTTTCATATTCTAAGGAGACATTGCATGTTAATATGTAACATTTTTCTAATCTTTTTGGCATGTCAGGATGTCTAGAACCATGATCCATGACAATACCGCGAATTAACGTTGTATCCGTATCAGTTTTATGTTGCATTTCCATAATTTCAACCATATGCAAATCAACTTGTTTTTCATCCTGCCGAATAGCTAAAATTGCTTCCACACAAACATCAGTAAGTAAATTAGCTAAAGACTGGTGAACTTTTGTGGTTAAACTTGTTCTAGCGATTTCAGTCAAATTTTTTTTATTTATTTCAATAGGTATTTTCATTGCATCTAAAATCTCCAGTGCTTTCGATCTGGCTTGATCAAATCCCTCTGTTAATATACGAGGATGTAATCCTTCGCTTAAGTATATATCTGCTTGTTTTAAAAGCTCCCCTATCAATAAAACCGTAGTTGTAGTTCCATCACCGGTTATGTCATCTTGAGCTGTACTGGTTCTTGCAATCATAGATGCAGTTGGATGTTGAATTTGCATTTCGTGTAATAAAACATTGCCGTCCTTGGTAATTTTTATATCACCTGCACCCGAAACCAACCTAATAATGAGTAATCATTAACTTAACCTCAAAAATAACAAATGGTGTATTATACTTCAATTGTACTAAGTTTGAATTTTAAAATCTTTCAAGTCCGATTGTATAATTATTTCACATATAAAATTTCTTCAGATAAGCCATTTTTTGTTAAAAATATAAGAATCTTTAATCTGTAATTACTTACATTTTCATAGTTCCTTTAGGTCCCAGGTTGGTTTTCATCACATCTTGTAAACCTTTTCCTGCTGAAATGTTAATGGCCAAAGCTTGAGCTGCTCTGGCAAATTCCGCTTTAGGATTCAACAAGCTAATTGACGACATTTTCTTTATATTTTACTGAGAAATTTCCTTTTTTTAAAACTTTAATAACTGCTGAAGGTAAAATGTGACAAAACCAAAACCGAAAGCTGGGGAATATGAAACCAATGAAATAATTTTGACACTTTCAAAACAATGACATAGAGATGGGTCTTTAAATTTAAATTTATGAATGTGTCAAAATGGCTTAAAGTGTGCCATTATAAATTTTATAAACGTCAAAATATGTTGTCCGATTTCAGTGCGGGGAAAATTGTAACTATTCAGATAAAGCTGGTGTCGGTTTCGTGACGAGCTGATGTATTTTGTATGAAATGAAAATGAAATTTATTTTAGATCCACCTTTTTTTCTTTTTGTCTCAAAAAATTTAATTAAATTATGCCTAAGCAGGAGGTTTTTTTCAATCTTATAACAAGTTTGAAGCAGAAATACAAACGCGTAATATTTACACGTTTCCACTTCTCCTCTACATGCTGTGATGCAATAAGAAACTTACATTGTGATTCAAATTTAATGTTAATTTTTTAGGTCAAATTGAATTCCAAAGATTTTGAAGAAAGACGTAAGCAGTAGAAAATGTTCAATATGTTTACACATAAATATATTAACAACTCTTTTTAAATCATACGGATAGGTCATTAATAAAGAAAAAATCGTTCTTGCTTATTAAAAAATTTGAATCCCTTTATGGTTCAAAAAAATATATTTCTAATAGGTACTTATTAAAATATTGTGAAGGATACTAAAAAAGTTTTTGACTAATATTTTCTATAAAAAAATTTGCTGAGATGAAAAAAATAGGTATTTCAAAATCCCAAATTTTTCCTTTGCCAAAGAAAAAATTTCCAAACTAGCTAAAACAAAAAAAAAAAGCTAAGTACGATTATAACTGTCAATTTCGTGTTTACTGCAGATAGCTTTTGTATATTATGTCAGCTTGTATTTGAGTTAAAAAAATAGCTTTCAAAATTAAAATTTAAAATTATGCCAACTGTTTAGCTACGAGCAAATTAATTCTTGTTAATTGTTGTTAATATTACAACATTTTATATGTAAAATAAAAACGCGTTGCAAATATAATGGATGAAGATAAAGTAACAGATTTGCCAACAATTTTTCGTGGAATTTGCAGAGCTTGCATGAAAAAAAATAGAGAACTGTTTCCTCTTTTCGGAGGCGCGAAAATAAAATTTGGAGAAAAATGTTTTACCATTTCTGAAATTTTATTTCTAGGTATACAAAAATGTCATTTTATTCGCAATAATAATATTAATATGATATGAAAAAATTAATGGTATTAATTTTAGGTGGCAGAGTTAAAACTAGCCCTGAAGATAAATTGCCAAAACACGTATGCCGAAAGTGTCTTACTCGTTTGATAGAAATATTTAGCTTTCAATTGAAATGTATAGAAACAGATATAAAACTAAAAAATACATTGAATAAGCAAATAATTACTCTAAAGACAGAACCAAATAATTTAATTTCAAGTCCATTAGATAAAGAAACAGAGTTCGTGAAAGAACTTGCTTTAAAAACGGAGAAATTGGATTCTTCGCTAGTTGGTTTTTCTGAAATCGATTTAAAAAAATCTTCAGAAAATTATGAGCTGGAATTAAGTGATTGTACAAATAATGGTGCTGGAAATAAAAGTTCAATCTCTGATATTGTAGTTTCTATTTTGGAGGATAAAGAAAAACAAGTATCAGTTTCAATGACTGTTACGTTAAATGACAAAAACCAGTCCCATCAACAACAAGAAAATCGGTGCAGTCAGGAAATAAGATCAATACAAGAGAAAGAGGACTATATAAATCTGAAAGATTCTTGTAACAAGAGTTCAAGTCAATTATCTAATGAAATATTTGAAACCTTTCCTAGGTAAAATAAATGTAATCCTTAAAAATTTCAATTATTAATTTAATTTATATTTAGCAAGAACAAAGTACTGCAACATAATCAAGATAATGACAAGGGTCAAAGTAAATTTATTTGTACTTTTTGTAAGAACTGTTTTGATACCTGGTCCGATTTGGGGAAGCATATTGTTCAGCATAAAATTCAAAATAATTACGGACATCTAAGGAGGTAATTGTATATATTTTAATCCTCAAAATTTAACTTGTAGATAACTTATTTTTCACCCATAATTTTTAGCGAATCACCGAAGTTTGATGTTTCGCTGGAGGAGAATCTAAAGGATAAAAATGAATATTCAGAAGAACTTACATCGCAGAGAGATTTTGACATTGATTTACAAAATCTTGAAAAAAATACGTAAATATGAGATATTAATTTTCTGAGCAAATTTTAAGAATTTTATTTATTAGATCTGATATAAATGCAGAATCCTCGCAGCTTAATGATATAAAATTAAATGTATTATCTGAGCAAGAAATGCCTATTTTAACTCCGTACCCGCAAGTTAGGTATGCTGGTATTATTTTAATTTTTTTGCCGTTTAAAATAATTCTTACTTATAGCGTTGAACAGAGATTTTATTGTTCATATTGTCCTGCCCATTATAAATATAAACAAAATGTGAAAAAACACACAAGAAAGAAGCATAAGAGCGAATTGTCTAAGTATAAATTATAATATTTATAAAACAGTTGTAGATCTTTAAATGAATATAAATATTCTAGGGAAAGTTACTCGTGTTCAATTTGTCACAAGAAATTTAAACAATATTTGGAGGTTGCTAGACATCGGCGTCGTTATCATACTAAATCAGTAAAGTAAGTGAAAAATATTCAATTTCAACAATATCTTATAAAATCTACTAAAAAATGTTTGCTCTGAATTTTTAATAAATAAAACACTTAATAACATTTTATTGTTTAGTGACGTAATTCAACAAAACGTGGTATCTCATAATGGGAATCAAACAATCAATATTACAAGAACTGAAAAAGAACCTGAAAAAAATATTACCAGGACAAACGCTGAAACTGAACCTGCTGAAAAAGATGGAAAAAACGCAGATTCACATTTAAAATCTAACTCTGACAACCTGATGTAGGTATTCTTTCAAAAGTATTTGTAAATGTAACTTAATTCAGCAATTATAGGATCAATGGAAGATTTTATTGCATATATTGTCCATCGCATTATGCTCGCCGAGCTGATTTTGGGACGCACTTAAAGATGAAACATAATAAAAAATTAAGGTACCCACTTATTTGCATAGTTAAAAAAATAAATGTGAATTTTTTTTCAATAAATATTACTGTTAAAGCTATGTCGAAAGCAAACAAAAAGCTGCTCATAATTCAGTAGAAAAACGTGCAAGTGTTTGGAAATGCCGACAATGTCCTGCTACTTTCTTTGATCAGAAATCCCTCATTGTTCATGAAGAGAAACATGATAAGTGAGTTTTAGCTTTAACATAATTTTATCTACATATACCTAAATATTATTTATTTTATTCACTCAATAATTTATATGTTGCATTTGTATACAAGGTCACCTTCAAAGCCTGTTAGAAAGTTGGATAATAAAATGTAAGTATCCATAATTATTTATCAAACGTTAGTAACAAATTTAGGTAAAAAATATTACTATTATTGTAGAGATGAGCCGGCATACAATTGTAAAATTTGTGGAGATACATTTTTAACACTATTTAGTTGGAATAGTCATAATTTTACAAAACATAACTCTAACTTAAACAATATATTTGAATGTGAAAATTGTGGTAAAACATTTTTACGATTAAGCAGTTTAAAGAATCATATAAAAACACACAAAAAAATAATTATTGTAAACACTGACACCAACGTAAATCGGAAATTATCAACTTCAACAGATGTGGAAAGTGAATCAACTCAGAATACGTCTTCCTCAAGCTCCAATAAACCTTTAAATTGTTCAGACATTGAAAATATTGACCAAGCACATAAGTGTCTCATATGTCCGAGCATATTTGATAACAGAAACAGTTTGCGTAAACATACAAGAACGCGTCATCGTGATAAATTAAAAGAATACGAACAACAAAGAACCAATAACCATTTGTTTCAATGTTTAGGTTGTTATAAATGGTTTTTTGGGAATTCTCATTTGAAAGTTCACACCAAACGTCATATTGTTGCAAGGAAAGGGTGAGAAATTTAAATTTTACAATAAATTTATTTATTTTTTAAAAATTTTTAGTATGAAAATTAATTGCGATATTTGTCATAAGAATTTTAATAACATAAAAGGATATGGTAAACATTTAACAAGTCACAGAGCAGCAGCACAGAGGAATAATAGATATTGTAAAGAATGTTTAATAATCTTCCCTAATGAAAAGGGATATAAAGTTCATATGATTAATAAGCACAAAAAAGTTTAAATTAATTTTTATATTTTTCATTTTTTTTTTAGTGTTTTCTTAAAGGTTGATTGATTTTATAACAAATTTAAATAAAGTTTTGTTACTTATCCAATGTAGATTTGTAAATCAAAGTTTCATATTGCTTGCAAAATTTGCAGATTAAACAAGACAAAAAAATAATTGATATAAATATAATAGTATGACTTTATAGAAATTATTTAGATAAAATAAGAAAATTTCAATATTTGAAATTTTGAATTGCAAAAAATATTAGTTTTTTTATAAGATTGAATAAAAAAAATTTAAGTTTCTTCTCTTGGTTTTACTTAAAAAACTACAAATTTGATTGAATGTTTAATTCATTATTGTGTCATTTAAAAAGTTAAATTCATTATTGGGTGATATATTGGATACATTTATATACTCGTATATCTACCATATCACACGTACTTACATACATGTTAAAATTAATTTCATTATATAAAATGAAGATCACCAAGAACATGCCTTATTATCATCAAGATTTATGAAATCGGGTACCCTTGGACATTTTGAATAATCTGCTTTACATAAATATTTGTTCAAAACTGATTCTGTGCCACCGTAAATGGAACCACCTAACCAAGCGGTAAAATTTGATTTTGCTGGAGCTTTGTGAAATTTCATCGTTTTAATATATAACTTATCTTTATATATATTCGAATCCTTTAAGTACAATAGCTCACTTTTTAATCTAGCCATTAATCCCATTATCATAGATGTTCCTCCAATAAGAAATATATTTTCGGCTAAAATCTTTCTCATATCCATATTACATTTTAAAATCGCATCTAAAATCTGATGGGGTAAACTGGAATTGTCATTATCTTCTGCAAAAAATATTTCCATTACTGTCTCCCGCAATTTTCCTGGTATTTTAATTATTTCTTTGCCATGAACTGGATATTCAACATCTGGCGGGGCGGTAGGTGGTTTTTCTTCCCTATATTGTTGAGCTCTTTCGAAAGTAGTTACAAAACAAGTTCGAACTTTTATATCTTCCAAAACTTCTTCAGTTAAATATTCTTCTTCAACTCCTGTTTCTAAAAGTTGCTTTTTAATTTCTGCATGTATTTTTTCGCCGCCATATTCTTGTGAATTAAATGCATTTAATATTTGAACACCGCAATAAACTGGTAGTATAGTTGTTTCCTTATATCCCAAATCTACTACAACCGCAGTATCAACAGCTAAACAAGATAAGGACACCAAGTGAGTTGGTACAAATAACAATGAAGAAACTTCAAAATGTCTAAATAATACTTTGGCAATGGTTTCCCTTATGGCAGTAGGGTTAAAGCTGCTCTCAACTAAAACTACCTTTCGATCTTTGGGGCTAACGAGAACATATCTAAAATATATGCATATGTATGTAATAAAGAAATTGCTGATTTATATTTTTCTTAAATACTTAAAAAATACTTCCTGCAAGAAATCAACCATTTGATCGTAAAATTCAGAAAGCTTCTCATATTCAAATAAATTTTTTGTTTTTCCATTTGTAGACACAAAAACCTTCGTTGGGATTATATGTCTCGGATATGCTTCAGCTGCAAAACCAATTCTAAAAAATGGGATTTCACACATTCTTAATGCAAACGTTTTGTTAATTTCTTACTTTGTATAGACCGTTCCAATATCCAGCACCACAGGAAGTTTTTCTTGCATCACACTCCCATAAAGTGGCATTATTAAAATTTTAAACAAAAGTTTTCTGAATTAAAATAATAATAACTTGCTTTCGAAAATCATTTAATTTTCACTAAAGAAAGTGACTAAATATTTGAATAAGTGCCCATATTGCCAGATCTGTCTGATTTTTCAGATTTTGCAAAAGTCTGCCAGATGACCTGATTTCTGACCAAAAATGCCGAAATTTTTCCAAGTGAAATTACTTTAAATTTCTTGTTTTGTGAATTATTATTACTGAAACGGTAATCTAGTGTATAAAATGGTATATAAAACAAGGCTGACAGAAATATATATTTTTTGTAAAGTCAAGATATAAAAGCATGTATGTATTTTAAATGAATTAACATCTAGGTGATGCTGAAGGTGGATATTAATTATATTATTGTGAAAATCGGTAGACGGCGACGGTCTTCTTGACTAACCGAATACTTATTTCTATATTTTGATATTATTTGTGCAATGAGGTTTATCTTATTATGACATAAAAATTAAGCTTCATGTAATATGCAACTTTGTACTGATAAGCCAACAATGAAATGGAGAATTGGTTAAAAAAAGCATATAAGCTTTATTTTAGAAATAATTAGCCAGCAAAATAATTAATTTTTTTTTAGAGCATCAACAAAAAGAAAATTAGAATCAGTGAAAATTATACATTTTTAAAAGTATTTAAATCAATTTTTTTTGAAAATTAGACTCTAATAAGAATAGATTTTGATAAACACAATCTAGTATATGACAATAAAAATGTGCTTAATTTAAATATAAAACTGGTTTGTTTATCAGGTCTTATTCCAGTTTTATTTTTCTATGTTGCCAGACTTCTCAGATTTTTTGAAATTTTCAGAGAAAATATGGTAATGCTAGTTGTAATATATGATGAATTGTCAAACATTGAAAATCATATGTCTGCCCGGCGCTGCCAAAGGAGAAGATTTATCTTCAAAATGAAATTTTTTTAGTAATATTTTTTGTGCTAAATTTCAAAATAAGATTTTCACTAGAGAAACTCCTTGCAAAAACGTTGTTTTAAGTATGAAAGTAAATTTAATAAGTTATTAAAAAAAAATAAATTTTTAAATATGAGGGAAATCGTACATATTCAAGCTGGTCAATGGGGTAACCAAATTGGAGCCAAGTCTTGGATTAATAACTACAAAATTAAAAAACAAAATGAAAATAGACTTTATATTAAAAATTGATTCATTGAGCAATTGAAGTTAAATAAAATTGAAATTTGATGAAAAGGTTTAATAAGATTGTGTAAAACTAGAAATTATTGAAATTCTTGTATATATAAATATTGAATAAAGTTTTTCTGAGTTGGAAATTTTTACACTTTTTTCCATATTTTCCAAAGTTCACAAAAAAATATTTTGAACAAAATAAATAATAGATAAATTTAGTTGGTGACGCTACTTCCATGGCAGAAATTCATGTCATTGGTTTTTTTTTGCTTGTGTCTGTCTGATTTGGAAATTGCGATATTTTGGCTTCCTACTTTTTTTAATTTAAATTCAATTGAAGATATCGAAGAGTTCAAGACGATTTTTTTTTTTATCGAATCTCTAAATTGAAGATTTTGTTTCAAAAAAATTAAGATATTTGGTCTAATTTATTTAAATCTGTGCTTCGAAATTTGAATTTATGTTCTTACCATAGAGCTAGACATGACATTTTTAGATCCTATTTGTATATATATTTTTTCTAAGTTAGTTGGAAAGAAATATAATTTGAAAAAAGACTACTAGAACAGATTTCATGAAAAAATATTATAATATAGGAACGAAATTAGAAATACAAATAAAACTATAAATAATAGACAAATAGTCTGACTTTTTTGAAAGTTCTGTTTTATTTCTGTTGTTCCAATAATTAATTTTATTAGATAATTTTATAGAACTATTCTAGAACATCTAATATGTATACATTTACGGTATTTAATAAGGTGAAAGTTTGCTGTATTTTATATGTCCATAATTTTGTACGTAATTATATGAAACATACTTGCCTATCTAAAACAAAATTATAATCATTTTTTGATGTTTATCATATTTTTTTTGTTTGATGTATTAATAATCAGTTTTTGATGTTTATATTTCAAATATTTCACTTATTCAAATGTTTGCTTTTGTATTATTTTAGTTTATTGATTTTAATTGTAAGTTTTTTCTTGCATTAATTTTTATTTTCACGAACCACTTTACTCATATCAAAAATAAAAATACAGTTAATAATGAGAAAGAAATTTCATTATAAAATACTCAATTTTTCTGGCAGTGAATTTTCCTAAAAGGTCAGCTGTTTCTCAATTTTGGACTAAAAATATTTTTGTGCTACCCGTCTAGGCTTAAATAGTCTATTACCCGTATATGTATTGCTGTTGTCAGTTGTATTTTCTACATACATATACATATTTTTCATTATGACTATTGTTCTTTGCAGTCAATTTGAAACTTTAAAATATATCATTAATTTCCATTAAAGTTCTTTTGCAAAACAAAGCATTTTTTTAGGAAAGTATTAGTAAACAAAAACAAATTTTTTTTTGTAGTTAATATTATACGTAAAAAAGTAATTATAATATTATACGTAAAACTTGAGAACGGTCGAATATGTCAGAAGAAAGTATTTCAAAAAATAGCCCTGTTTGCATTATAGTTTTAGGAATGGCTGGGTCGGGTAAAACAACCTTCGTCAAAAAACTACACCAGCTTGTCTATGACTCCTATAAACCTTATGTTATTAATTTGGATCCGGCATGCCTTGAAACACCTTATCATGCAAATATAGGTAATCATTATATTTTTTTAGCTAAGGGTTTTTAAGTAAGGTTTCAAATTATTTGCAGATATTCGTGATACAGTAAATTATAAAGAAGTAATGAGTCAATATAAATTGGGTCCGAATGGCGGAATAGTTACTTCTTTAAATCTGTTCGCAACTAAATTTGATAAAGTAATCGAATTATTAGGAAAAGCTTTTGAAAACGGACAAAAACTTTGTATAGTTGATACACCAGGCCAGGTAGAAGTATTTACGTGGTCAGCATCGGGAACTATTATAACAGAAGCCCTAGCCACATCATTTTGCACCATCATTGTCTATGTTATGGATGTTGTTAGATCACGAAATCCAGTTACTTTCATTTCAAACATGTTATATGCTTGTTCTATCTTGTATAAAGCCAGATTACCATTCATAATTGTTCTTAACAAGGTACGTATTAATAATACAAATTGACTAAAAAAGTTTTGTAATAAAATTTAAAAAATTCTAGATTGATATTGAAGATTGTAGTTTTGCTATTGAATGGATGAAAGATTTTGAAGTTTTTCACGAAGCGTTAGAGAAAGAACAAACGTTCGTTAGTAATTTAGCTAGAACAATGTCATTAACCTTAGACGAATTCTATCGTGATTTAAAATCTTGTGGCTTGTCATCAAAAACTGGAATTGGTTTTGATAAACTTTTTGAATTGATAACTGAATGTTCCAAAGAATATGAAAGGTATGTACCATGTAGGTACCCAATTGTCTAGTAATTTCTGTCAGTCTTTTTAGTAATATTCTAGTAATTGTCTAGTAATGTTCAATAATACTTTTTTTTCGGTATGATTGCTTTCAACTGTTAGTGTAACATTGTTCAGATGAACCCACTAATAATCCTAGTTTAATTTTTTGCCTTAAGTGATCATTGGAAACTTTTACATTCTAAAATTTAAGCTTTGTAAAAGACTTTCGATTTATTAATTTTATTTTTAGCGATTACAAAAAGGAGCTTAAAAAACTCGAATTGGAAAAATCACATAAATTTGCAAAACAACTTGTATCAGATGTAACAAAAAATTCGTCGATAGGGGCGGAAGTGCCCATGGCTTCTTTTGTGGAAAATGTTAGTTTTATATTACAATATTATATGACACAAATGTTTTTCATGTACTCAATCATAATTTTAGTATCCGAATTCAAATGTCAGTGAGGTGTACCTTAAGCATCCTGGGAATGAAAGCTCTGACGACGAGGAAGGAGTTGAGAATAAGCCGGTAGCCTATGCTGATGATCAATTAGAAGAAGAAAATTTTAATGATTACCTTGAAAAAAGAAAATTAATACAAAAAGACAAAATGAAGCTTTAAAAAATTTTAAATTTAAAATAAAATAAATTGCTTCTAATTTTATAGTTGTATGTAATTCAATTTATTGCTATAAATTGATATACCTACTTATAAAGAACTAATTTGGAAAATCAATTAAAGTTTTTGTTACTGGATATACGTTTAAATTCTTCTTAAAATCTTCAATATCGAAAATAGTTGAACTTTCATTCTTGATCAATTTTAATTCGATTCTGTTGTCTATTGCTTCAATTTCATTTTCGGAAACTGCGTTTGACGACGTACTTCCAATAACCTAAAAAATTAACATTGTTTTTGTATGTTCTAAATTTGTAAATTGCTACAAAAAATGTTTCTATGTATTTAGTAGAGTCCTAACGACGAATTCTCTTAAAAAACGCAATATAATCTAGACGTTCGGTATTGAATATAAAATCTCAAATTTCAAATTTAATTTTACTTTTTATTAAAATGACCACGAAATACCCATAAATTCAAGTGATGCTTCCGAAAAAGTATATGTGATTGTTTTTCAATATAAAGAATTTACCTGTACTGATAATTTACGTAGGTTATTTTTCTCATAGTTTAAGCAGAAATTGATAATATCTTGCTTTGTAATATTTCGAAGGCATTCAATTTCTTGCTTTAAACGATCAAAAATATATTCTTCAGAAGTAATTTCACTCCAATTACGAGAAACTTCATCTCTAAAAATTAAAGAAACTCTGTTTGTATAAAATTAAAAATTTAAAGTTGAATTTAGAATATTTTACTTCAATTCGGTATCCGAAACTTGTTTTGTTTTTATTAAAGATTGTTTAACATGTTCAAATTCTTCATCTTCCATGTCTTCCAAAATTGTCATCATTTTAACTCGAAACGTTTCAATTCTTGTTTGTACAAAAGAACAAGAAAATTTGTTTTCCTGAGAATTAACTGTTATTGAATATCCTAATATGCCAGAATTATTGCGAACTGTGGCTGAAATATCGTATCCCAATTGTTCTTTTGTTCGCAAAATGTCAAAGAGTGGTTCTTCTACCAGCATTAATAATAGGTCTAATAAACACTCTAATTTTAAAGTGCAAGGGCCCATTTGATAAAAATTTGTTACGACTGTGTTACAATCATTATTATTAACTGCATTGCAAATAACATAATTTGATCCTATTGGTAATTGACAAGTCAAAGACTCTATTTGTTTAATCTATAATTTAAAACAAACATATGTTCGTAATACATAAAAATATTTACATTTAAAAAGATTAAAATTACTAACGTTTTGAATTTTTGAACACTTTAAATTTGTAAGCACGGAATTCATTACATTATGAGCTGCTTCTTCCTTTAAATTTCCTTGAATAAGTGCTTGTATTTTCATTTCTTTAAACAAATTCGAAGCAAATTCCTTAATATCCTCTAAAGATATACTTTCAATTAAGTTGTATTTTTCATGAACTGACCAACGAATTTTTTCCAAAATTTTTAACCTTATATCTCTAGAAAAATAGGTAGGAATTATTCTGATTATGAGCAGATATATTTAAATCATCTAAAGAATCTTACTTATTCAAACTTTTAGGTTTCATCAAAAAATTGAAATAGTTTTTCTGTTGATACTTCTTGTATACATTCAACTGTTCCAAGGTGAAGTATTCGTTAATATTTGACATAGTTTTTGTTATGATGTCTACAATCAGGTGAAGTTTTTCGTTATATCCACTTACCTAAATAAGAAGTTACTATGAAAAAATGCATATTTTTTGATATAACACCCAATTATACAGCAACGACACTTTTAAGAACTTGCATAATTATCATGCATAAATATTTTCTATATACTATATGTGTAACTAAGATAAAAAAATTTAAGAAAATCAAAATTATATTTAAATATGTATTTATGTTATGAAATATGTATGTATATGAAACATTGGAAATGGGTACCTAATATTTATAAATATATATGTACATATACATCACATTCAAATAACTACATATTATATAATATACTGCAACAAGTTGTTTTACATTTATCTGAAATATACCTTTAGTACTATGCCTTTATCTGAGCAATAATATTGATAATTTAGACTCGCAATAGTAGCTGGATACAATTGTTCCACCAATTCAAATTTAACAATGTGACTATATAGTGTTAATAAAACAGCACTAAAATAAATTAAATGTTATAAATTCTCTAGTCCATATATGTATATTGACACTTACTTTTTACTATTCTGCAAAACTAAAGGTGTTATAAAATAAAAATACATATAGGCTTCTGGTAGAAGAAATTTATTATCTTGTCGAAACCAAAGCTCGCAAGTATCGGAATGCACTATTTTTTTTGGATAAACTGATAAGTTTGGACAATTCATTTCTTTCCAAAATATGCGAAAATCTGTTGATATAAATTGGTTCGGCAATGGAAAATGTAATTCAGACATAATCGGAGCATTATCATATAAATCAATCCACGATTGAGGCATTTTCATACTGCAATATTCTGTTCCAAACCACTTTTCACATTTATCATAACAAATTCCATCATATTTTAAATAGGATGTTACAGTTATATTAAATTTACTAGTTGAAATTAATTCTATTAGTTTATTGATAGAATTTTCATTATATTCAAAGTATAAATTTGGACCAGTTAATATATCTTTTGCAGAATAATATTTCATATTTATAACCAAGTCTTGTACATTATCAAAAGCGCACCTCTCTGTTTGATAACGGAAATCAATTTCCTCAATAGTTTTTAATTCTTTGAAAAGGTTTCTGCTACATCCAACATTCGCAATAAGTTTAATGTAAGAATACATAGCAGATAATACTTTTTCTATATTTTCGAATCCGTTTTCTGTTAAAGAAATACAAACATTAAACAAAGAGTACATGGAATTAAATTCAAATCCTGAATCGTCAACACCAGCTATCATTTCTAAAGCCCATAACCTGAAACAAAAGAAATGTAGAATTAAACCAAAAATTATTTATATAACAAAAATACTTTTTGCGTAAATAAGCACATAAACTTCCGACTCCTTCGTAACCAAATAGATAAGCCAAGTAGTGGTGAGGTTTCGTTTTATATTCCTGAAATATTTGAAAAATTGTACAATATACAGTATGTAGAACACAATAAGAAATACTTGACTTTCTTCCAAAAAAATAATAATGTTAAATTAATAATTACCTCAATAAGAGGTGGTAAGCACCACGTAAAATCAATCCTAATAATGTTTGAAACTGGTTTAATGAATATCACATTTTCGTAAAATTCATTTTTAAAAGCGTTCTTTTCATTAAAAGTACCATTGTAAGTACCAGAAAGATTATTATTGTGAATCTTGGAAAAATATTTGGACGCCATGCGCTCTAACTCATCCAAAGGTAATCTGGCTTGGATGCAGCAATACATTCTGTGGGCGCTGTAATGACGTTTTCTGTAGTCATGAAGCTCTTCAAACAATTTTTCTTCATCAATATCATCTTTAAGTGTTTTTGAGTTTCCCCAAGTAAATATACTGCAAGGATGACTTGAATTTCCCATTTCACTCGCTAAGATTTGACTTCGTCTTTGCTCATCATCCTGCAGCGATTGCTGGAATTCCGATTCAACAGCATCTCTTTCTCTTGTAATTGCTTCCTTTTTCATTAAAGGCGCTTCAAATAAGGAAACAAACCTCTAAAGACGAAATATATTAATTTAAAAACTTTATTACTTATTTGTTATGTAGGTAAATACTTACTTACCTACATAATTACGTCATTAAATTGAAAATTTCTTTTTTTCCATTTTACCTCGATAGAACTTTCCAAATGTTCATCGGGTACTTCAAAATAAAAGGAGGTTTCTTCACAATCAGTATCAGCGTTATCGAAGCCACCACATTTCTTTATATGCGAATCGTACGCATTTTCTTCTGGAAATGCTTCTGATCCCATAAAAATCATGTGTTCCAAAAAATGGGACAAGCCCTGTATATGTCGAGGATCTGAGAACGAGCCAACGTCAACCATGAGGGCACAAGCTGCCAGTCTTTCGTCACCTTCATCGTCAGAATCGTCATCCTCATCAGACTGTTCGCTTTCAGTTGACGTGGAATTTATTGACATTTCTTCTTCGCTTTCATCTAAAGAATCTAAATACATTTACATATTTTAAATGTTTTTTGATTTTTTGAATATTTAATTTGCTTCAGTTCATAGACTAGATATACTACTTATAACATATTATATTATGTATACTTACGTATATTTTTCTAGATCTAGATAAATATAATTTAACAATAGATAGTAGTTTTATTTACTTACCTTCGCTTGAATTCGAATCAGATGAATCACTTGTGTCGCATTCTGGTACGGGAGATGGATCGGACACCAGAAGAATTTTTATACCATTTGATAACCGAATAAGCCTTTAATTAGATTTTTATTTCGTCAATAAAAAATGAACCAATTTTAAAATTATTAAATTAAAGTGCTACCTATAATCCTTTTTATCACTTTCTGACTGGTCCGGTTTATTTAAATATTCGATAGACATATTTAAAAAATAATTTTCCGAAAAAAATCTTATTTGATTATTTTTATTTAAAACTTTTGACACGTCAATTTTATACATACATATATTGTTAGAAAAAACTACCTTTATTTACAGTTCTAGAAGTCATTTGTGGCGAAAACACATGTTTTATTAATAGTTTGTTCAATCTGTTTCGAGGAATATTGGTCAACGAAATCGTGAAAGGAAATATGTGTAAAAGAAAATAATACTTTGAGCGTTTTTAACCAATTAAAGAATAATAAGTAACAAGAAGAAACATTAACTAAAAAAAAAAAAACGTTTTGTCAATCAAAATGTTACTTCTAAAGACTTGTAATGTTTGTAATACGACAAAATCTAAAATTAAACCAACGATTAGTTGTAAAACAATAATCAAAGCGATAAACGGCAAGGGAGAACGACTTCTGTGTCGACGCAGACAAGAGCTTCACTCGAAATCAACTGTACAGTATTTTGCATATAATGTTGCACACATATGGAAGCAAATAATGTCAAAAAAACCGACAGCGGTAAACAAACAACCAGCTGATCGCTGTCTGACAGCAAATTAGACAAATTAGTTTCATATAAGATACGGTTGATTCTGATTCTGACGAAAGTCGTATATGCAAACCCTATTTGATATCAAACTTTGTTCCACGGGAAATAACAAATTTACTCTATTCTTCTCAGTTTTACTGTCAGATTTTCGAAAAGTAAAATGTAATTAATTTTGCAAAGTTTTTAGCACCAATCATCTGATTTTTTTCTTTTTATAATTTTAGTACCAATTTGTTAAATTTTGACGTAAAGTTTGACATAATTTTTATCTTAGATTTTTTCGTATTATGTAAACAGCACCTGAAATTCTGAATTTATTAAAATTGGCACTTGGCTTCCATATCCATTATCCATATATACGGCTTACCAGATGTTGTAAATTATTAGACCATGGTTTGAATCTTTTATTTTGGCAATAAATTTTGAATGTCATACTTACATACATATATAAATTAAAACAAAAATTCTGTAGACTATAAACTCTATAATCTAATGAATTCGAAATACTAAAGAAAGGGACATCTTGAAAAAATAATGAAGCCTCTCGTACCAGGAGCGTATTTATTTCATATTTTGATTTGACCTCAACTATGAAATGTGTGTAATTTGTAAGCAAGATAAGTTAAAAAAATTTTTTAACTTTCTTTCCTATCCCTGAAAACATATGTACGTACTTTGTTAAAAAATTCAAATGATCAGTTTTGACAATTTTAGTTCATGCTTTAATCTAATATTAAAATATGTATGGCACATTAATTTAAAAAGTAAAGCAAAATGATTGCATATTGTTCCAGGCTCCTATTGCACCAACAATTCTTTCCTTTTTTTTAACCCATTAATCAAAATATTCTATATGTTGCTGTTCCATCAAGAGTCAAAAAATTAACAAACTATACTAATAGCTTTTTTTAAAAAGTTAGAAAACTAAAATTAAAAGCGATTTGTGTCACGGGGTTTAATATACGATTTTGTGCTTAATATAATATTTTATTGAATTATAAACTTAAAGTGGTTGGTGCAATATTGTTTAATATCGTATGAGTATTTGAATTAAAAAAAAAATAACGTATTAGATTTTCATTGGAAATTTGGTATTCATTTAATTAAGATTTTATAACGAATCAATAATCTTTTGTAAGCTGGAGGAGATAATTTTATTGACGTCTGGAGTAATTAACTTTTTTTCTTCAAGCTCCGTAAGCAGCTTATAAAAGCTTTCTACCCTTTTTTTATATTTACGGCTTGTTTGCTGTATTACTTTTAAATTTTTAATTTTTTTCTTGCAAATTGTTTTTGATTCATTAGCTTCAAGTTTTTGTTTCTTGAATTGTTTTCTGATATTCTTTACTGCGTTGGTTTCTGCTTGCAATGTATTGGTTGTTGATGGCGTTTCATTAATTTTTTGAATTGCAGATACAAAGTGATTCTAAAAAAAAAATAACTTAACAAATTTTAATTAATTTTTTGGTTATTACTCACTGAAATAGATGGTGTGTTGTCGTATTCTTCCTCATTGACTAACTCATTCTAAAACAATAAATTTTATGTATCATTTATACTAATATTTTACTTTACTTACTGCATTCAACGACACCGACTCATTTTCAGAAATTTCTTTGTCTAAATATTGACTCTATAAAGAGAAATATTAACAAAACATTTAAAAAATCAGATGTATATTTATTACATCAAAATTAGGTAAGGCATCTGGGGTTAAATAAATTTTACCGGGTAATTTCTGTTTAAAATTTGAATCAAAGTGTTCTGAACATATTGTACTATTTGGTAAAACATTTGGAATGAAATCTTCTGTACTGATAAGTGCAATCCACTTTCTTTTTATCTCCTCATTTTTAGGAAAACTGTAAATATATATGAAATAGTTCATTTTAAATATTGTATGTAAGTACATTTTATTAAACTCAAATTGATTTTGCTTAGAATTACATCATCCGATGTAATTTAAGTTCAAAACAAAACAAAAACAAATGTTTTCTTTCCATAATTAAACACTTAATAAATTTACGAATTCTACTTAATATTCTACTATTGAATAAATATTTGTTCAAATTATTAAAGTAAATAAAGTAATTGAATATTAATTCACATACATATGGAGGGAAACGTCCTTTTGTTTTTTCAAATGAGAACAACACTTTGGAACAATGCACTTCTTTCTTCTTGCAACATTTTTTTTTACTTTTTCCATTTTTAAAATTTTTTTTAAAGCAACGATATATTTGTATATTTTTAATATTTTTTTTCAAGAGTTAATTTATAATTCACGCAAATGTTACAACTAAAATCACAAAACTTTCATTGTTTACTATTTATATCAATGCAGCGTATTCTTCCAAGAAGAAATAAACAACATTTGGCATTTAATGTCAATTTCAATTTGACAATGTTTAGAGCAAAGAAAGAGACTTCCGAAGTTTTTGAGTTCACTACTTTTTTTTCAAAATACGATCTTTTAAGGAGTGCAAGCGAGATAAAAGCAATGATGCTCCTTCTTTTAGTATTTCTAATTTGCTGCTGCAGCATATGCTGATTGATAAGTAGACAACAAAAACATTGATGGTTTTGTGAATGTTTATTACCTTTATTGGTTATTGGCTCATCAGTTTTCCTTAAATTCATTTTTCGTTTCTTGTAATGTTTGATTTTTGTCTTTGGAATTTCTAACTACACTTACGAATTTTTTAGAAAATGGTTTACTTTTGCGAATATTGCAATAAAGCAATGATGCTGCATTTACGAAAAACTCATAATGATGGACTCATACATAAAATAGGTAAAAACAATTAATAGTATAGTAATAATTGATGATATTGATTTTAAATTTTTAGCATATGCAAATTATTGGCTTCGAAACTTAGACCCGGAAGAAGTTTTAAAACAAGAGAAATCAAAAAGGAAATGTGCTTTTTATTTAAGAAAAAATTGTCGATTTGAAGCTTATTGTCAGTACAGCCATTTCACTGATGAAGAATTGCAGAAAATTTTTTATTTAATAAAATATAATGAGATGCGCAAAAAAAAAACATTTCGTTTTGAAAATGAAGTACAAATTGCCAAAAGTCGAAATACAATGTTAAAATTTCGCCATATTACAACAGATCCAAAAACATTACCTTCTTTAGTACATACAAATAAATTACCTAGCCGAATCAAATCAAATTTTGATTGGTGTTGAAATGATTTCAACATAAAATTTTCTTTTTAATAGAAGTTTTAATGGAAATCAATACTATAAAATAAAATTATCATTATTTGAGCCAACAACAAATGGACATTGAAAACCCAATTTTAAATTTAACTTGGTTAACTAAATTTCTGGAAATGTTCAAAAAAAATATATAGAACTTTTGTACTTCAAAGATCAAGCATATAATTTTTGCATTATTATATTACTCAGGAAAATTTTATATCTTGTGTATTGAAACTTTGGTCATATAAATAATTGCAAGTGGTAAATATATATTTATATAGGTTAAAAATTATATACGTAATAAATTATCTAAAGTTAATTTACAAGTACAGAAACATGAACTATAAATTTTAAACCACCATACAGTTAACGAACAATTGACAATTATGAAAAATTGTATATCTCATTTTACTACAAAAGAAGGAGTTCTAAAATAAGTTCAAATAATTTAATTCAAAAGCGATTTTAATTGAGTTATTTACTACAACTCTTGATTAGCAATTTAATTTCCTTTTTAACTTAAAATAAGGATCTCAAACTTGTTTCTTGATTTCAAACATATTGATGATATTGTTTCAATATATGTAGGTAGGTAGGTACCTACCTAATTAAATGGGAGATTTTAACCTTTTTATTTATCATATAAATATGATACAAATGACTATGAATCTTTAGATCATTATAAATGTTTACAGAGTAACTAGAATAATTAACAATTACATTTCTTTCTCAAACATTTTGAGCTTTTATTTCTTTAAAGGAAAATCAGTATCTCTTTAATAACGTGTATCATTTAAAAAAAGATTATTACTTTTTATAGTTTTATGTACAACAATCTTTATTGCAACCGGATAAAAAATAATTGAAAATTTCTTTTTCTACTCAGTGAATTGTTTATTTTATTATACTTATAAAGTGAGAAATCTTTGGGTGAATACTTATTGAATGCACAGTATGAAGTGATAAAAAGCAACTATCACTCATAAAAGGAAAGCTGCAGTAAGTAAAAATGTAGCAAAAACTATTATTGCTAAATAATTTACTAATTACAACTAAAGCTGAAATGAAAATTTGTATAATTATGTGATTCGCCCAACATAGTAATAGTTATCGTTATAGATAACGAGTCAATTATCCCTGTTACAAGACAATAACGATATATGAAGAGTTTTTCCAAGTCTAAACATTTTTGATATGAATAGTTACATATTTATTTAAATATAATACATATATTTTTGAAAAAAAAAATAAGTTATAATTTACATGCTTTTTAAGGTAGAATTAGAATGTTAAAAACAAATACTTGACATTATAAGTAATATCCTACAATAAACTTTATTTAATTATTACTATTTTCGTTTACAAATGTATTTAATATAATTGTTTACTTCAGTTTATTTATTGCTTAAGAAGTTTATTAGCAATCTATTACGCTAAATTATTATATATTCCATAAAAGCCAATTTTTTCTTTTTCCACCGATAATTTCAGTTAAATTTAAATAACGCAAATTAAACTTTTTTTTTTAAGTCTTTTTCGTGTGCCTCATTTTATAAATACTATAGATATCACAATTCCATATCCTTTGATTTCCCCAACTCATCATTTAAAGATTTTTATTATATGTACATATATGTATATACATTCAAATTATAATTTATTACAATAATTATTTATATTAAAACTTCAATAGTTTTTGCTCATGCTACACACTCCAAAAGCCTGCATTGCCACAATATTTGGGATGAAAATTACAATTAAGCGTTGTTCTTAATTTAATGTGCTTTCCCAACAGATTAATAACAAATGTCAGATAATCGCCGGACATAAAAATGCCGCTATGTCGCAATAAAATCAAATCATTCATATAATATTTATAATGTACAAAAATCTATAAATTTTTTTTTGCATTTTTTAAATGCATTATATGTGTATGTGTATGCACAAATGCATTCATGAAATTTCTTAGTACAAAAAAATATAACTGGAACTACCCTTACACTGATTTTAAGTTTCTTATGTATTGATCAAAATGTAGTACTATTTATGTTACACTAAAAAAATATGATTTTCATCAAATTTGTACATTACGTATATTAAGGGCTTATTCATCATCGGATAAGTTTGATGTTGTAAGTAAAGTAGCATTGTCATCACCTGATTCTTCAATTTTAACCTGCAGAAAGAAATTTTTTAAGTTAAACTATAATTAAATAGTTAAAAAACTTTACTATCCGATTCCTTTTCCTTCCTTTTGATTTACTATTTTTTTTATTTCGTGTAATAAAACAGAGTGAAGCGAATAATATTATACTAACTAAAGCCGCACCTAAAATGGCAGGCAAAATAATACTATCCTCCGTCTTATATCCCTAAAATGTTATAAATATATTTTTGAAACAATGTACGCAACATAAAATTTTAATAATCCTCTCTTTTAGCTTACCGTCCATTGAAAGTATGTTGATGGGTCTATAAAAGGCCAATGAGATTTGATCCAGCTTTCAGATTCTCCTTGCTCCTCTAAATTTTTATTATTTTTAGAAACTGAATTTGTTTTGGCCAAAATTGGAAGAATAATTGTTTTTTTGGTCAAATTCGAAAGAACAGGAACTTCTTTATTTTCCACATAGGGTTGAACACTTACTTTTATGCTTAAGGGCGTTAAAGTAGTTAAATATTGTGTAAAATTCATTTCTGGCGAATAAATTTGTTTTTCATTTTTTATATTTGTGTTAACATTTTGCTGTGTATCAAGGAGCGACTCTTTCTGTGATTGCATTTCTGTGATTGATTGTACTTTCTTGAGTATATTTGGCTGTGTATTCCTTTCAGTTTCATGAAAATTAGGTTTTACTTCAAACACTTTTTGTTCAACCTTTTTATAATCGTCTTCGAATTCCTGATGCATTTTATTTTTGTCGGTTGAATGCCTTTGCGGAATATTGGCAGCGCCAATATTAACGGTGGGATCTTCTTTTTGTTTGGTGTATTTCCCATAATTATAGTCGTCTCCATTACTTTTCTTGGAATATGGATCATTTGCTATTTGCCTTTCCAAAAAAGTTTTTTCTGAAATTGTGTTGTCAGATGTTTGACTGAATTTCGAGGGGACTAATAAAGTTTTACTCAAAATGGAAGACGAAGGAGCCTTGCCGTTTGGATGAGAACTGTTTAGATGATAATCATCAAGATTTTTATTTGTCAATAAATTTTTATTTTTTGTAAACCAATCGGTTGGGTTTGGTAAACACTGTGTTGAAACTAAAAATGGTATTAAAATTGCACCAATAATAACGGTACAAATGAATAGAAGGCCAAAATATGCAAAGATTGATTTACGTTTTTCGCCTTTATTTTTGTATTTGCCTTTGATGCCATTACCATTACTTATTTTACCATTTTCTACTCGAAAATCGTCGTTTTGTGGTAATATTGTATATTGAAGACTATTTTCACCGTGCCTAATAGTCTTATACATAGCGGAAGAATCCGTCGAAAAGTTTTTGTGTAGGTATGTATGTACCTAATGTATTTCACAAAGTTATGTCTACTTTTTGAACTCTGAAATTATTTTGTTTTTTTTATTGTTAATTTTTCGTACGGTAAAGATATATTTTATAAATCGTTTATGAAATTATTTTAATTTGAGTCAAATATTTTTAAGCTTTGTTACTACTTATTGATAACATTGTAATTAATATTGTTTTCATACACAATTCTTCGTGTTTGAGCACTTTCACAAAAAACTTATCATATTTAATTTAAATATTCAAAATAAATTCATGGGCCACTCTCTTGAGCACGATAAATAAATATTAACAGTTTTTATATTATCTCAAAATATTTGCAAAATGGATTGAGAAAAATCGATAAACGGTTTAAATTCCTTGCATATAGAGATTTAATTTTTGATTATTCTTTCTTCTTGCAGATAAAATTTTCATTAGCAGTAATGTTTGCAGACTTTAAAGTTGATTTTACACGAACCAAAAAGTTGAGCACATATTATGAGCATGTTTGACGACTATTAACACTATTGGCCCAAAAATTAATGTTAAAGAAAAACAAAACAACATAAAATTGTCTTTTCTTGTGTTTGTTTGAATTGTGGTTCGATCCTTATATATATAAATCTTTACCTCATAAATAGCTCTACCCTGTTTACATGTCAGCTTCAAGCGTAGTAAAATATGTTATGTGCATAAACGTTACTTGCTTTGAAGTCGGCTTTACTCAAGTCAATCAAAAAATTTTGTTTGAAATGTAATAGCCAAACGTCACTTTCGGGCCTTTAAGCTCACATACACTTCGTTTGTATGCTGAATAACCCTCAAAGTCTGCGAAAGAAATAACTATTTGAAGTCGTGATGATATAAACGCAGTAATAGTAAAAACAAGAATATAATAGATCGGATTATATGTTTTTTTAATAGATCGTAATTTTTTTGTAGGACTACAAATCTGTCAATTTGTGATAAAGGGAAACTGTTTTACACCATTTTTCAAAATTCGCTTATTTGATCCCATAAGTTTTATTAAAAATCGTAGAAAAATATTTAAAATATTTATTTATAATAGTTATGGTAGGTGTGCTTTTATTTTTAAATACAAAATACAAAATAAACCATATACTAAAAATAAAACAATACTTACTAAAAAGCAAAGTATTTATACTTCAGCTAAAAACATTGGCAGTCTAGCATGTGTTACAATAACGAATAACTGTGTGTTTCTTTTTTTCTGACATGTGTAACAATAGCGAACAACTGTGTGAACAACTTTCTTTTTTTTTTGGAAAACTAATCGGGACATTTTTGTTTATCTGACAGTTGAAACTTTTCATATTTTTTTTGTTCCCTCCATTTTCGTGAAATATTCAATAATTCCACACTAATAATTAAAACAGAATCAAAACGGTTAACGGCAAAGGCGAGTAATTTCCGTTGTTAATTCAGAACAACAGCGGAACGGGAATATGAACTGTCAACATTAAAATAAAACAGAGTATGTTCAAAAAACCGCCAGTTGTAAGATGGGAATTAAGAATATTTTCCCGCTAGTGATTAAATTCGCGACGGGAATTTCGTTTGATTCTGGCCATTGCCATTTAAAAATATATATGTGTATTCTACATGAATTTTGACATTTCGCCGCGGCAAGTTGAGCTTGTTCTGTTTTTAGCTTAAATTTCAAATTGGTTTAAATTTTTCAGAGAGAGATATGTAGGAAAATTTAAGAAATTTAAATTTCAAATATTCATACGAAAATGTGCTTTCAGTAGTTGAGCATATGCAAAATAAACCAACGAATTCAATATTATTATTAAATTAAATAAATGAAAATCAAAATATATTTTTTACGAATTATTGTAATACTTCAATTTACTACTTAATAACAAAATGAGAAGGTATCACATTTACCATCTGGTTGCATTAGTCAAAAGTGTACTAAAAACGGTGTCCTATTATCATTTTGCGTGTTATCAGTAGTGGCTTTTAGTTCTTATTTGGCAACATTTAGAAATTCTTCGGTGGTGTCAAGTGTGTTTTTTTATTAAAATCGAATATTTAAATCAGAAGAAATGTCGGCTTTTTATTTATTATCAAAAAATGTAAGTAAATTTTGGATAAAAAAAACGATTATTTTTTCAATAAACTTACGTAAGAGCATTCTTTAAATTGTAGTATTTACCTACAATATTAACGTATTAAATCTTGAAATGTACATTTCACGTTTTAATTCCATATGCCTGTCGTCATGCATAAAATTAATAGATAGGTATATCTAAGTACATACGTATCCGCAAACAATTTAAACTTTCATAAGATTTAATTTAGTTAATTTTCAATATTGTTTATTTTCATAAGAGGTTTTGTAACTAATTTTAAAATGTAAACAAAAAGTATGTGTTTTTCTAATATGTATTTATTAAGAATGAAATATGAACGTATAGATTTATTAAAAAAATCTTGAAGGTCAAATCAATTTGTTTTAATTGACTAGGGTAATATAATTTTATAGTACATACCTACCCGCTTTATAAATTTATCACTGCTACCTTTCATTCTAAATCATTAATCAGAAAATCCTCTTATGCAAATATGTAGAATGTAAATAGGTATTTAAATACATGTTGAAGAAAATATTGCGAAACTTTAATGGATATGAGAAAGATATTTTTAACATATACATGCATATATAAAGGATTATTTTATTTAAACAGTATATGTTTGCATACAACATTCATGTTATGTTAATGCAAATTGTAGATATGATGTTCTTGCCTATTTTTTCGTAAAATGTTTAGATAAAAAAAATGTTATTTCAGTTTCAACACTTCTCTAAGAGACTATATTCATCTGGACCTTCGACAACAAAATTGTTCATTGATGGAAAATTTATAGAATCTAAGACATCAGATTGGATTGACTTACATAATCCAGCAACAAATGAAGTAATTTCTCGTGTGCCAAAATGCTCCCATGATGAAATGCAAGCTGCTGTTGATTCATCTAAAAGGGCTTTTAAATCTTGGAATAAAACATCTATAATAACTAGACAACAGATTATGTTTAAATTGCAATCTCTTATTAAAGATAATATGGAAAGGCTAGCAAGCAATATTACATTAGAGCAAGGAAAAACTTTAGTCGACGCTAGGGGGGACGTACAAAGAGGATTACGTAAATTTTTGAGTTACATTTAATGTTTTTGCTTAAATTAAATTTTCCTTTTATTTGGCAGAGGTAGTAGAGCATTGTTGCAGTATACCCTCGTTGCAAATGGGAGAAACTGTTCACAACGTAGCAAAGGATATGGATACTTATTCGTTAATTTTACCACTTGGAGTAACTGCCGGAATAGCTCCTTTTAATTTTCCTGCAATGATTCCTTTATGGATGTTTCCTGTTGCAATTACATGTGGAAATACAAGTATAATAAAACCATCTGAAAGAGTACCAGGGGCTACCATGTTACTGATGGAACTGTTGAACGAAGCAGGCTGTCCTCCAGGTGTAGTTAATGTTATTCATGGATCACAAGATGCTGTAAATTTTATTTGTGATAATCCAGATATAAAAGCAGTATCCTTTGTTGGGTCGGATAAAGCAGGAAAACATATTTATGAAAGAGCTGGACGTAATGGTAAACGTGTTCAAAGTAATATGGGTGCGAAAAATCATGGCGTTGTAATGGCTGACGCTAATAAAGAAAATACTTTAAATCAATTAGCAGGCGCAGCGTTTGGAGCTGCTGGACAACGTTGTATGGCACTTTCGACAGCTGTATTCGTTGGGGAGGCAAAAAATTGGATACCTGATTTAGTTGAGCGCGCAAAAAAACTAAAAGTTAACGCCGGTCATCTCCCCGACACTGATGTAGGGCCTGTTATAAGTCCAGATTCTAAAGAAAGAATACATAATCTGATTGAATCAAGCACAAAAGAAGGTGCAAAAGTTATCCTAGATGGTCGTAATATAAAAGTTCCAGGATTCGAAAAAGGAAATTTCGTTGGTCCTACTATTATTACAGATGTCAAACCTAACATGCAATGCTATAAACAGGAGATTTTCGGCCCAGTTCTTGTTTGTCTTTCTGTAGACACAATCGAAGAAGCAATTGATTTGATAAATAAAAATCCCTATGGAAATGGGACTGCTGTTTTCACAACAAATGGTGCTACAGCTAGAAAATATATTAACGAAATCGATGTTGGTCAAGTGGGTGTTAACGTCCCCATTCCTGTGCCTCTTCCAATGTTTTCCTTCACAGGCACGCGTGGAAGTTTTTTGGGAGATCATCATTTTTATGGAAAACAAGGAATCAAGTTCTATACACAAACAAAAACTGTTACACAATTATGGCGTGAATCTGATGTAACGCACTCAAAACCAGCTGTTGCAATGCCTACAATAAATTAACCGTTACTGTCGTTTGTGCCTCAAATAATTAGTGTCTTCCAATACTTTGGATATAACGTGATTTTGATATGAATACCTGTTTGCATTTATTTTTACAAAAACATTAAGTTTGTAAATTTATTTAATAAATTTAAATACTAAATTTATAATAGATATTTATTTTGAAAAGTAACAAAACGTCAATAATCTTAAATCAACATCCAATCCACAAAAATATTAAATTTAAAAATTTGACTTTATTTGAATTTTTGCTAAGAGTTTAGTCCCAATGTCTTTCTCACAATTCCTTTCGCAATTTTATTAAATTCATCTCTCTGCTCCCTCCACATAATAGCGGCATCAACATTTGCTCCGGATTCGTCATTTGGCTCGGCTAGCATGGAGACCACGCTTAACAATATTTTTTCGACACTTTGGACTGGACTCCATCTTTCAGCTGACAATTCGTACCCCATTGGATCATCTCCAGGTGCATGAAGAATTGAAATACAAACTCGACCATCCGTAAAAACATTTGGATGAAACATTTCACAAGTAAATCTCATTTTTGGGGGACTTAAAGGATAATCTGGTGGAAAAACCAATTTTGCTGGAAAAACACCGCCTTCAAAACACGTACCTTCTGGGCCTTGAATTAAAGCTTCCCATTCGAAAAAATTATCTTCACTAATAGGTCCAGCAACTATCCCTTCTGGGGGGTTTAGTGCCAGTTGTCTGTATTCTGCCATTAAACGTCTTAAGGCTGATCCTGCCATTTTACTTAAAATAAAAACAATTTATTGTAGTAATTCCTCAATTTTTAATTTTAATTTACAGAAGCTGTCAATTTGTCAAGTTAATTGTCATATTAGAAGCTGCCAAATGAATAGAACAATGTACAGCAAACGGTGTTGCCAAGTGATTCAGTCGTTCAATATTGAAATACCTTGAAAAGATAAATTATGAAAATAAAGATCATTTGAAAAAAAAAACAAATTTTAATTTTGAATGAATATAAAGTTTAAAAGATGGAATATCCTTTTATAAGTAGTTAAAATAAAAGAAAAATAAAATTTGAATTTATTTTAAAAAATTTGTTTTTAAGATTGGTTACAAAAGTTAATGAATACGTTAAGAACAAAATTATTTCTTCTAACCAAACGCATAAGTATATTTCAAAAATATGTACAGCGTGACGATTTTAAAAAATGAAAAATAACTTAGTTATATTTTAATAAAAATATGCTAACAGACTGGTTTTAAAGAAACTTGATTAAAAAATAATTGAGTTATTTTTTGACAAGGTCAAAATATGTTAATTTAATATTTGCCATCCAATTACATGTTCAAGATATTTATAAGCAGTTAAACTGAGCACAATTACATTATAACGAAAAAATGCGTAAACTATCTGCGACCTACGTTATTAGATGGGGAGAACATGTTCTTGATTTATGATAGATAGATCGTTAGTTTTCGAAGATATTTTCGCATTTCATTATAATATTTGAAATATCTTTTGTTATTAAATTGACATTTGAAAGATAAAAAAATCTGTAACAGCACATGCCCGACCGCAGTGTATATTGCCTAGTTCAGCGAAAGTGTTACGGAAGATTATGAAAATGCATTTTGATCACTTCCTTTCATTTTTAAGAAGCGAGCTTTTAGCTAACATACCTAGAAAAGTGTAAATTTGGCTCTTACTAGAATTTCGCCTTGTGCTTTGGTTCTTAGTAGAATTTCAGTCTGAAACGCTCGCCAGTTAGTTTCGGTAACAACCAAAACCCAAATATTAAATTTTAAGAAATTCCATCAATCTCTTTAAAAGCATTTTATTTATCGAAAATTCGGCATGGTCGGTAAGATTATGTTTTATTCATAAACCGAAAAAGACGATTTGCAAAGTTTCAAAATGTAAATGGAACATAAATATTTATGAAAAGAATCAAAAAAGAATTCTTGCTGAAAAAAATATACTATTTTTTACTAAGATCAATTAAAAAATACGGACTCGTAAAGCGGACTATAGTTACAAAAGTGAAAGAATTACAGACGATTTTCAGTATCTTGATTCTTCAAAGAAATATCTGGCAGAGTTTAAAAGTCAAATAAAATTGGACTAAAAATCGAATTGAACCAATAGAATTATTGTTTACAAATCAAATTTGATTAGGTCAAATCTTCTAATTTACCATGGTTTCTGTTACTTTAGTTGGTTTTTTGCTATTGTGATTAAAAATAATAATAATCAGCTGATCACATCTACAAAACATCAAAAATTTTATTAGTCATCATTTTTAACTATTGCAGCTGTAAAAGATTTAATGGTAAATAGGACAAGATTCAATAGATTATTTTTTATATGATTTAGTTTGAATAGATTGGTTGTTTACAATGAAATGTGTTTCAAATTTTGATCGCTACTCAAATCGTACAATTTTGTTTGATTTGTAAACACTGCCTCACGAAATTTCCATAAAAAGCAAAATTTGTCATGATCTGATAACACTTGAAAGTGTCAAACTTCATATACATTTAGTTTTTTTTACTCACGTAACCGCCAGTGCGTTATTGATTTGATAAATGTATGTAATTATTAATTATGTATATTATTGATATTAATAATTTTAAATCGCAAAGAAATATTTTTGAAATATAACTTTAACCATATTTTAAATTTACTAGTTTTTCATTCAAAAGAGAAAATGCATCCGATTTGCGTTCCACTTGCATTAGTAACAAGAAAAATCCAACGTGTTGGTTATACTTATTTGAAATTAAAGCAAAAATTGGACTTGAAAAATTCTTTTTCTTGCGTTGGTGGAGAAGAAGAGGTTATATTTTTGGAAGATAACTTTGAAATTGATGAAGGTTATTTAAAAAGTTTAGATCCAAAAGAATGGAAAGACCAAGATCATTACGCGGTTTTAGGGTTAAAACACAAACGTTTTTTCGCAACTGAAGAAGACATAAGACGAGCATATCGGAAAATTGTGTTGCTTCATCATCCTGATAAAAGAAAAGCTAAGGGTGAAGAAATCAAAATTGAAGATGATTATTTTACATGTATAACAAAGGCGTATGAAGTTTTAGGAACAACAAAAACTAGGAAAGCTTATGATTCTATAGATCCAGAATTTGACAATTCACTTCCAACATTGCAACAAATAGAGAAAAATTTTTATGAAACTTTTCAAAAATATTTCAGCTTAAATTCCAGATGGAGCCAAAGAAAAAATGTTCCATCATTAGGAAACGAAAACTCATCAAGAGAAGAGGTTGATGCTTTTTATTCATTTTGGTACGATTTCGAATCTTGGAGGGAATTCAGCTATTTAGATGAAGAAGACAAAGAGAAAGGACAGGATAGGGAAGAACGTCGGTGGATAGAAAAACAAAATAAGATACTACGAATAAAAAGGAAAAAAGAGGAAATGGCTCGTATAAGATCATTAGTAGACCTGTGCTATAATAATGACCCAAGAATTTTGAAATTCAAAAAAGAAGACAAGGATAGAAAATTGGCTGCAAAACGAGCTAAAATGGATGCTGTACAAGCAGTTAAAGCCCAAGAAGAAAAAATATTAAAAGAAGCACAGTTATTAAAAGCGAAATTAGATTTGGCTGAGCAAAAACGTATAGAACAAATACGAATAGAAAAAGAACAGCAAAAAAGAGCTCTCAAAAAAGAAAGAAAATCTTTAAGAGACAAAGCTAAAGAATCAAATTTTTTTTCAAATGATGAAAATGAAAGGGTTAGAAATATGGAAAACGTAGAAAAAATATGTGAATTATTGAAATTGACCGAATTACAGGACGCAAATAAGTTAATAGAGGAAAATGGTTCGGAAGCTTTCTATAAAATTTTGACAGACCTTAACAAGAAAATAGAAGAAGAGAGGCTTTCATCTTTAAAGCAGAAAAATAGTAATTCTTTGGAAGAAACTTCCAGACTTAATGATAAAAACGATATTTGGAATAATGATAATACGCAGCTTCTTATTAAATCTGTAAATCTTTTTCCGGCTGGGACTGCTCAGAGATGGGAGGTTATCGCTACCTTCATGAATCAACATTCATTAACTGCAGGAACTAGAAAATTTCAAGCCAAAGATGTCCTAAATAAAGCTAAAAATTTGCAAAGTGCCGACTTTTCCCAGTCTCTGCTTAAGCAACATGTTAATCAAGCAGCATTTGAATCTTTTGAAAAGCAAAAAAAGGATTTAAAAAAAGTGGATAAAGCTGATATAACTGTAAGTGACGAAATTTCAGGCGATATATCTCATCAAGAAAACAATAAATCTTCGGTAGACATCAACAAAAACAATGTAAATGAAACGTTTAAAGTTTGGACTAAAGAAGAGCAGGCGTTATTAGAACAGGCAATCAAAACATATCCAATATCAACACCTGATAGATGGGATAAAATAGCCGAATGCGTACCTAATAGAACAAAGAAGGATTGCTTAAGGAGAGTGAAAGAGTTAGTTGAGAGGGTAAACGCAAAGAAACAGGTTAAACAAATCTCAAAATAATTTAAATTAAAAACATTGTACCTATTTAATGAAAAATAAAATATAATGACTAAAAACAGTATTTTTTCTTTCATAATGCATGCATAAAGAATTAAATTTATAAGGTTTCGATATTGTCGGCAAAATATTCATTTCATTGTTCTACATATGTACTTCAAGGTTTGAGTATAGGAAAAATCAAACTGGTAAGAAATGAGAGAAATAGTTTACCGAAAAAAGTGATTTTAGTAAAACTCAGTTAAAAGTCGATTAAATTATAAAAAATAAATAAAATAAAACATATGTAAAGTATTTAGCTATATATTTTAATTTTATTTTCCCATATTGTCTCAATAAAAACATTGTGTTGAAGAGCGAAATCCAACCCTATCAGCACCCGTCACCCATTATAATGTTAAATAATGTGTATGTATGTATTGCATGTAAATAAAATATGTACTATATGCATGTAAATAAGTCCAATTTATATTACGCATCATAAGAGGTAGTTTGCTCAGTATTATCACAGTGTAACTTCTCGGATGTTTCAGATTCAATCGCTCCTCTTAATTTTTTTTTTGTTTTTATTAAAAAAAATTAACTTATGTAGAAAACTAGTTTTGAATGATGTTTATTTTACTCAGAAGAGAGACCACGTTTAGATTACGAATCTCAAAAATTAATATTAATAGAATTGAGCATTTAGTTAGAATCAGAATAAAATGCAAAGCTGTGAAGAAAATGATAGTAAAAATAATAAAAAAATCATTGAAAAATTTCAAAATTGTCAAAAATTTTATGGCATTGAAATTTCAGCAAAACATATTGAATTATTAAATTTTAAAAATTTTAAAATAAATCCGCTCTTCGTATCGGTATTATGGGATAATTTTTCTGATTTGACCTTTTCATTAATTAAATCATTAGAATTGAAGAATAAAGCATATTTATTGCATTTGAGTTGTTATCAAATGACTACAGAAAGGCTAAAGAATATAGTGCGAACAACAAATGTTAAAAACGTTTTAATAATCCGAGGAGATTTAGTTGATAAGGAACAAGAATTTAAATATGCCAGTGATATGGTTAGAAAGCTGAAAGAAATTAAAAATGGTATATACATAAGTATATGCATATATATGTACGTATGTACTAATATGTACATTTTTGTTAAAACGTTTTATTTTGTTTTAGATATCTCAATTGGAGTCTGCGGCTATCCAGATATTCATCCTGAAGCAAAATCTATGGAAGAAGATTTAAAAAACCTGAAGTTTAAGGTATTTATATAAACATACAGGGATATTAGATAATTAATAATATTTTCATTTATTAGGTTGATTCTGGTGCTGATTTCATTATAACACAATTGTGTTTTTCTACTGATAGCATTATAAATTTTATTAAAAAATGTCGTGAAATTGGAATATATCAACCAGTAATTCCAGGTGTATTTGTCCCAACTTCATGGTCAAATCTTGAAAAAATGGTGAAAATAACAAAAGTATCAATGGAAACGAGCTTACTTAAACAATTTGAGTCATATAAGGCTGATGATGAACGTTTCAAAGAATTTTCAACAAAAACTTTCGAAAATATGATAAAGGAACTAGTTTTCAATAAAAAATCATATTGTAATGGTGTTCATCTTTTTACTTTGAATTCTTTTGAAGTGGCACAGAGAATTGTTAATAAATTATTTTGACGAAATGTAAAAATAGTAAAAATCTTTTATGTATATGCAATTATATTTTGCAAAATTTTAGCCATTTGTATGATTTACTTGCAATAATTCATTTTTTTTTTATTTACATGCATTCCATTTATTTAAAGTTTATTCTAAAATTAAAATTTGTATTAACCAAGCAAATTGACTAATACAAATTGGAAGATTGTTCTCCAAACGAACTTTGTGACATTTTTGTCATTAAACGATAATCGATATTATGCATTTAACGTATTTTGAAAAATTTCAGAATTTAATTAAAAAAATAATGCATATTTTTGTTCATAAAATGTACATACATACATACTTGTATAAATGTGAGTAATCTTTTTGTCAGTAGTGTCCTTAATATTTTAAATAAGAAAAACTTAAACTACACAATTAAATAAAAATTTATGTATAAATCATACAAAATTTTTCTTAAACAAATTTTTAAATGAAAGGAAAAATTTCCTCTAATTAGTTTAATCCTTGCACATTCTAATTAAACAATTTTCTAATCGAGCACAGTAATCTAAAAGTTAATTATTTTTTAATCTAATTAAGACTTAATATATATTTTTTATTGTACCTGAATCCCAATTTTATTAGTACTCCTACATAAGTACATAACTAAAATACACGCATAAGTACTTGTACATTTCAGTAGTTTCCGAGATTTAAATACATGCATATTAGCAGAGCTGCTTTTCCTACGTGCTCATATATGTTGTTTTTATAATAAATTTTAAATTGAAATTCAATTCAGTTTTTAAAAATCTTGAATATAAATCTTGAATTTAAATTAAGCACGAATACAAAAAAAAAAATTTGGTATATAAAAATACGAATACAGTTTACGTAAGAAGTTAAAAAAAAAGGAATGGCGAACATATTATTATGCATTATAAATTCCTAAAGAGTAGTTAATGCTACACTTAAAATATATGTATAAAGAAAAAAACAAAAGTAGGTCGAATTTAAATTCAGCGAAAAAATGACGCACTATAGTAACTTTTCATTTGTCTTTAATTCATCAGCGATTCAAAGATAAAAAGTCAAATATTTTAAAGCACATTATAGAATCAGAAAAAAAAGAATTATACATAATGTATGTATATAAAAAATTTTAATATATTTTGGTAAAAGTAATGAATATAAGCTTGTATAAAAATAACAAGGAGAATAACGAGTTTCGTGGGAGACTGAGACTTTTTGTGAGAGGTAATATTTCGTATACATATTACGGTTTATACTATTGCATGTCCATATTAAGTGTATGTAGATATGTACATACACATAAATGTACGTTATATATACCATTTACGTTTAGTCAACTACTCTAAGCAAATTACATGAAATAATATTTGAGTTCATATGTATGGTATGTATAGTATGTTCTATATAATTATAAGTGTGATACAGTGGTCTTATTCTCGTATTATGGTATAGTATGTGGCGTAATTAGTACACTAGATTTGTGTAAGAATGAAAATATTATAAAACGATAAGAACGTTGATTAATCTTTTATATAAATATATAATAACGAAGGAACACCTATATATACTTGAAATAATTTTTGTATAAAGAAAATAATATTACCCTTCAATATACTATTAGCACTATAATAGCATCATCATCATCAGTGGCTTAAAAGCATCATTATTATCGTCCTTAAATATTTTCACATATAATTATGCACACATATTTTAATATAAGAGTGTGTACAATTGTTCAAATAATTTATTAATACGTATACATATATATGTGCATATATTATAAACATATTATATATGTGTTTGTTAGTACGTAAATTTCGAAAAATTTTAGCATCACTTTAAAATTCGAAATTATAAATTTTTAAGATAAAAAGGAATGTAAACAATTTTTTGATACTTGAATAAAGCTCTTATTATTGTGGAAAATGAATTTGTGCGCAAGTTCATCTTAAATTTGTGGATTTAGAAGTTAATGTAAGAAAAAAAATGTTGAAGAGATGAAAAAATTTTCTTTTTCATCCTAATTTTTTTTTGTTTTGTTTTTATTTCTTTGGAAAATAGGGGTTTTATTTATGAAGGAAGAAATTTTTGCTTTTTTTTTTGTGGAGAAAAATTTTCAAAATTCGTTTATTCTGGAATTTTCATTCCAGATGCTTCAATGCAGGATAATTCTTCAAGGTTTTGGGTTATCAATGTACACATTATTAAATAAATAATTATAAATTTGAATAATATATGCGTATGTATATAATATTCGCATAGTTGTATGTGTATATGCATATATATTTATAAGATGAATAAATATTTATGTATACATGACGAGGTAGATATAATAATGTTATATGTATATATATATATATGAAATATGTGAAATATATATTGTTAAATAATGTTATATATATACATATATACATATATGAAACATACCGGTTTTCAATGATTTTCTTTTCCATATTGTAAGAAATTTTCTTTTTTTTTTTTTGTTTTATACTAATAAAAGGATATGCAACGTTTTTAAATTATACTATATATTAAATTCATATATTATTATGTATATAATATGTACTAGCATTTTAAGATCACATGTATGTTAAATCTTACATTATACCTTTTTTTAAATCTAATTACATAAGTATATTATTTTTTTATTTGTGTATATACATGTATACATATATACAAAATATTACTTTATTTTATGGAAAATATCATAATATAATTATAATATACATAGGTGAATAAGTAAAAGTGTATATAAGTAAAACTAAATACATATATTAGACATATAATATGTAATTAAATAGGAATACATAATATATACTATAATTAAATTCTTTGATATAGATTATAAGTTTTAATATATATTTATAGTTCAATGGGTAAATATAATATAATTGTAGTTTATATAAATTAAAAAAAAATTTGTTTAACTTATTTTAAAGAAACATACATATACATGTATTAATATTGTAGGTTTCTTTTAGTTATTTTTTAACAAAAAAGGGGAATGGTATACACACAGGATAAAAATGAAAAGCTATATGGGACCTATAGCTATATGGGACAGAAAATATATTTTTATATATATATGCATGTTATTGATACAGCACAATACATAATAAGTACCATAATCATTGTAATATTCCCTTGTTATATTCTTTGCATATATTCTTTATAAAATATCAAAAGTAAAATCTTTAGAATAAAATGTCAAATGTTTGATATATTGTCTGTTTTTTTCCTTTTTTTGTTTATATGGTTTATGATTTCTTTTATTAAATGTTAACCTCAGATTGCCTCATAAATTTTATATATAAATATATATTTTAATATTCATAGATAGATCTACATATTTCCATTTATACTAAATATTCTATAATATTTTGGTACAATTACATTCTAAAATGTGATATTGTGCCTTTATAAATGAAAATTATTCTTCTTATACAAAACATAGATATTATGCATATAGTATGTTGTATATGATAATAAAATATAATATTTCCATACATATTTATACGTCCTATCTATATTACATTTGTATATATATAAAATGTTGTAAATGAGGATCTTAATTATGACATCTTATTTTAATTATTTTATAGCAAAATTATCAATTTGTTCCTCTTTTTTTTTGTTTAAAAAGGGTTATATTTTTAATTATTATAATATTTGTTTAATAGAAATTTTTTTGTGTCATATTTCTTATATAATATTTATATAATTTAATAGAATAATAAAAAAATAAATTGAAAAATTAAAAATATTTTATTAAAGTGTATTTATTTTTGTTTTTATATCCTTTTTGTATAAAAAAAGGACATTTATTTAGTATTTTTTTAAATAAAAAATACCTTTTTGGTAAAAAAGAGGGGGTATTAAATTTTTAATATTGCAATACTATGTTCTTTATTCAAGTAAATAATATTTTAATTTTTAATTTTATTTTGAAATTATTCTTTGGTTGATTGTAAAATAATTATTTTATTTCCATTAAAAATATTTAAAAATTTATTTAGAAATTAAATTAAAAATTGAACATAATAAATTTTTTTCTATTATTTTAAGAAGCACATATTTAAAATATGTTTATGTATTTATCTAATCCCCAACAATTCATCAGATCACAATACACGAGAGAGTAATTTGAAAATTATTTATAAATTTTCATATTGAAGTTGAGGAGCATTTGAAAAACTTAGAAAATAAATGAAGTTGATTAAACTATGATTGGTAAAATTTACCTTTTTGAATTTAAGTCAAGATTTTAGTTTGATCAAACCAATGGTGAAAATGCTGTCTCAAAGATTGTGTACGCTTCGGATGAAGCAAAAACAAAAATTGAATGAAGCGTTAATATAATTCAAGGTTTCATTGAGAATTGAAAGGCTAATTGCATGAGTTAAGAAAAATATTTATGTCTTTTGATTTCATGTCATTTATAGTTACCTTTCTGCATTTGCAAAAGTTTGCAAAAGCTTGCAGTTTTGGAAATATATGGTACCGAATATTCAAATTTTACAAACTTCGAGAGATAATAACTTTGGGGTGGAGGTAGAAAAATTTTTCTTCTAACGAAATGAACTATCTATTAATACGTATCTAAAAGCTGCAAAAACTTCAAGTTTCTACATGTTTTCAAAAAAAGAAAAAAGAAATCAAAATCTTGAAAAAAACGACCTACAAATAATGATTAATTTTTATATGATCAGGTAGAAGAAACCATTCTCTATTTTTTACGTTTCTAGAATTTTAAAAAATGGCTGTGGTGTCGTTACAATAAATAGTTGAAAATGGAATTTTTAGGTTTTTGAGGGGCTATAAACTTAAAAGTGGAGAACTCTATAACTTTAGAGATAGGTTAAAATTTTCTTCTACGGAAATAGGTTTCTAGCAAAAATCTATTTCTGTCTTCAAGGGTGTAGAAAATTTTACAGACGGGGTCACGGAAGGACGGATGGATAGTCAGAATCTAATAAGAATTTTTTCAAAATTTTATTGAAATTAGCA